CAGGTCTTGGGAAATCATCAGGTCTTACAAACTTTCCACCCTTGGTTTTCTTTAAAGCCTCATCAACTTCTTTTTTGCTAATGCGACAGTAAAAATGAAATGTTTTATTATTAGTCACGATATTAAAATCACTAAAGTCGACCTTATTTTCAGAAACTTTACTTTTATTTTCTCTTTGTTTGGCTAGTTTATACATATATTTTTAACCCTCCTTAGTATCTAATCTATTATAAAGATCATTAAAAACAAAATTTTTAGCGTCACAGATTGTTATTTTAGACTCCCTGTGGACCGTTTGATAATTTTCCCAGTTCTCTAAGCTTTTACATTTAAATCAATTTTTATAACATAACTTCTTATATTTTATCTTTTCTTGCATGTTATTATTCCACCATTAACTATTTTTATTTATAGAAATTTTTTCTTTTTATTTTCAAGTACAATTTTTGCCACTTGTTTAATAGTTTTTATTACCTTATGCCACATAGAATTTGCTTCTTCATGAACATCCCAAATTTTGAAATTATGAATTTTACTCGTAAAAATAATTTTATTTGTGTCTTTTAGGTACCCCCATCTAATTCTTTGACGATGATTCCTAGTATTATTTATTTTACAACTCTTCATCCTAAGATTTTGAATTAATAATTGATATTGAGTAATTAAATCCTCATTTGGAATGACCTTACAATCATTACATTCTCGATGATCTCTTCTTCTCATAAGAAAATAATCAATTTGTGTTTTATTAGATTCATTCTTTTAAGTAATAATATGCTCATCTATTTTCTTGAATAAAGTATTAGCAATAATAAACTCATATACTAAAGCGAAATCTAATTCAACTCCACCTTCATTGATCACTCCAAACCCGTAACCACCATGAATATTTATAAAATCTTCTACCACTCTGCTGACATGTCCTTTTAATTCTCATCCAATAAAAATTCTTTCTTCAAGAGGTATAATTTGTATTAAGTCTTCTAAGTAATTCAAGAATTTTTCTTTAGAACCTTTATCTAAACCTACTTAAGAAGTATAAACACTTGTAATATTAAAAATCTTAGCATCAACTATAATCTTAAGGGCTTTAATTCTATCTCCAACTCTATTAATTTTTACAGCATGTTTTTTCGAACTCTTGTCTATAATTTCACTTACCCCATTTCTAAGTTTCTTGAATACATAAGATATTAATTTTCCTATGAATCATAATATCAACTAATTTCATTAATTTAACATTGAGAGTGCCTATATTCCAATATCCTATCCTAATATTAGTTTCATTAGTTTCATGGACTAACTTCTTTACCCGCATTCGACCGTAATGTGGGAACCCTTGCTTATTTAACGCTACACTCGGACGCCGGTGTAGCGGCACACTTTTCACTGTATTCAGGCTATACAGTGCGTCGCTTCTAGGGGACGCCCTAGCACTCACACGATGATCAAAAGGATTCTTGTCATGATTTTTTTTGGACAAGTTTTACGCTGGCTGTCGACTACCTAATGTAATCCTCCACTTTTAGCATCCGGGCTTGGGACCGGCAACGACAGTGTTATTTCAAGAGATTTCAACAACATTGGATAGAAATAAATTGTTTTAAGAATCTTGCCAAAGCTATTGAATCATTATACTAGGAACATAAAGCTGCAATATGAATTCTGGATTAGAGACCACCTAGATTTTCTGTATCAGAAGTCTAGTTGTTCATGATTCTTTTTGCTGATTAGTAGTCATTGTTGGCCGAGTGAATATAAATAGCTAATTTATTTTCATGTGCTATTTATTAGCTGTAGGATACCTGGCAACAAACTTACCCATGGCCGTTCCATTTCACGCCCCCCTTGTCTGGATTGCGGTCCTGAGCTCTACGTTGGTGCAATATTTGAGCGCAACCGACCGATTCTAATTAACAGAATGAATACTTGGGATGTTGATGGCTGTGTGATAACATAAACTGTTCATCT